CAGCTTGTTCGTCCTCATCCAGATAGCCACAGCGGTCAGGCACTCGTCTAGCACTCGAGCGGTTCCTGGGAGTTAGGTGGAAAAGAGTAGTAGAGTTGTGTGTCATCTGCATATTTATACATGGCTATCATATCTCCTCTCAGCCTTCTCTTCTTTAGGCTAAATGTGCCCAGCTCTTTAAGCCACTCCTCATAGGGCTTGTTCTCCAGACCCTTGATCATTTTAGTCGCCCTCCTCTGGACACATTCCAGCTTGTCAATATCGCTCTTCAAAAGGTTTAGAATAGTCAATAAAACAGAAATAGATGTTTTTCTGAAGCTCCCTGCCTTTCTCCATTATCCAGCAGATATTGGCAATTTGGTCTCTCGTTCCTCTGCCTTTTCTAAACCCAGTTTGTACATCTGGCAACACTCTCTCCATGTATTGCTGGAGTCTTCCTTGCAGGATCTTGAGCAATAGTATTAGAGCAGTGGTTCTCAACCTGGGGTCCCCAGATGTTTTTGGCATTCAACTCCCAGAAATCCTAACAGCTGGTAAACTGGCTGGGATTTCAGGGAGTTGTAGGCCAAAAACATCTGGGGACCCCAGGTTGAGAGCCACTGCCATAGAGTAACAAAGCTTTTGGTGAATTCATTTTACCTCTTGTTTGACTGACCACTCATCACATTAGAGAATGAATCTGGTTTCTGCCTCCTGCAGAATTCTGGGGTTTGTATTTAGGGAGGAGCCTTTAACAGCCTCACTAAACTACAAACCCCAGAATCCTCCAGGAGGCAGAAACTAGAGTTAAAGTGGATTCATTCTCTAGTGTGATGAAGTAGATGTGAATAGCTTAGCAAGAAGTTTCATACTCAGTTTTGGATTCTCAGTTGTTAAATGTTTAAGTGCACTCTCATTGGGTCCCTACTTTGTTTCATGTTAAGTAGCATGTCTATACCCCATGGAATCCTGGGATTTATACTTTGGGGAGACCCTAGAGAAGTGTTTCTCAACCCGGGGGTCGGGACCCCTGAGGGGGTCATGAAGGGGTTTCAGAGGGGTCGCCAAAGACCATCAGAAAACACAGTATTTTTGATGGTCATGGGGATTCCATGTAGGAAGTTTGAGCCAATTTTATCATTGGCGGAGTTCAGAATGTTCTTTGATTGTAATGATTGTATAAATCCCAGCAACTACAACTCCCAAAAGTCAAGGTCTATTTTCCCCAGGCTCCACCAGTGTTCACATTTGCGCATATTGAGTATTTGAGCCAAGTTTGGTCCAGATCCACCATTGCGTGAGTCCACAGTGCTCTCTGGATATAGGGGAACTACAACTCCCAAACTCAAGATCAATATCCACCAAACCCTTCCAGTGTTTTCCGTTGGTCATGGGAGTTCTGTGTGGCAAATTAGGTTAAAATCCATCGCTGGCGGAGTTCAGAATGCTCTTTGATTATAGGTGAACTATAAATCCCAGCAACTACAACTCTCAAATTACAAAATCAATCCTCTCCCAACCTCACTAGCACTTACATGTGGGTGCATTGGGTATTTTGTGCCCAGTTTGGTCCAGTGAATGAAAATACATCTTGCATATCTGTTATTTACGTTATGATTTATAACAGTAGTAAAATGACTGTTATTATTATTTGTTGTGTCAGGAGCGATTTGAGAAACTGCAGGTCGCTTCTGGTGTGAGAGAATTGGCCGTCTGCAAGGACGTTGCTCAGGGGACGCCTGGATGATTTGATCATCCTTGTGAGAGGCTTCTCTCATGTCCCCACATGAGGAGCTGGAGCTGATAGAGGGAGCTCATCCACCTCCCCCCCGGATTTGAACCTGCGACCTGTCGGTCTTCAGTCCTGCCGGCGCAGGGGTTTAACCCACTGTGCCACCGGGGGCTCCTAAATGACTGTTATGAAGTAGCAAACAAAAACAATGTTATGGTTGGGGGTCACCACAACATGAGGGACTGTATTAAGGGGTCACGGCATTAGGAAGGTTGAGAACCAGTTCCGAGCACAATTCAAAGTGCTGGTTTTGACCTACAAAACCCTTTACGGTTCCGGCCCAGCGTACCTGTCCGAACGTATCTCCTTCTACGGCCCACCTCGGAGTTTAAGATCTGCTGGGGGGGCCCTGCTCTCGGCCCCACCTTTATCACAAGCGAGACTGGTGGGGACGAGGGACAGAGCCTTCTCGGTGGTGGCCCCTTGCCTGTGGAATGCACTCCCCGGGGATATTAGGACATCAACATCCCTCCTCTCCTTCAGGAAGAAGCTAAAAACCTGGATGTGGGACCAGGCCTTCGGGTAGGCTGGCAAATGGAGAAAGACAACCAAGAATGACCAGAGTAGGAAAGGACAACGACAATGCTAAATGGTTTACGGACTTGGATTTGGTGAACACTAACCACAAGATGTTTTTATTGCTGCTAGTTTATTGTCTGCAGGGGCTCGTCCATTACGCGAAGTAAGCCATTGCAGAACACTTTTTTTTTTTTGCCAGGGGCGCAGAGGCGCCTGTGTAAATGCCCCTCAATCACTACTTGAGGAGCGCCTCCTCAGCTCACAACAGCCCTAGCAGTCCGGGGGGAGCCTCGGCTTTCTTGCCTCGCTGCCGGGCGATCCTCTTCCCAAAGGGGCCGGGCCCTTGAGCCTCGCCTAGCCCCTCTCGTTCCTGCTCCACCCGGCCACCGGGTGCGTGAGCAGAGCCGGCGCTCAATCGTTCTCCGCAGTTCGATCCCTTCCCCATGACCGGCTCTCTTTCCCGATCCCCCAGCGCTCCACCTGCCTCCTCTCCACAATCCGCGGGTGGGCCAAGGGGCGGAGCTGCCGCGCCTGGCCTGCTTCGGGTCCGGAGGCATGTCTGAAGACCCCAGCGTGTGCACCAAAAGTCGCCTCTTCTCCTGACTTTCTCTTCAGCCATTGGGACCAAGAGAGAGAGAGAGAGAGAGAGAGAGAGCCCCTCCGGCTGGAGGTATCTCCCACCTCCACTCCCTCCTTTGTTTTTGCGCCTACCTTCAGGAAAGGTGGGCATCTCCACCTCTCTCTCTCTCTCTCTCTTGGTCCCAATGGTTGAGGAGAAAGTCAGGAGAAGAGGTGACTTTTGGTGCACACGCCGGGGTCTTCAGGCACGCCTCCGGACCCAAAGCGGGCCAGGCAAGGGAGCAAATGCAGCAAGGTGAACTATTACTGGGATGTATAGTTCACCTACAATCAAAGAGCATTCTGAACTCCACCAATGATGGAATTGAACCAAATATGGCACACAGAACTCCCATGACAAACAGAAAATATATATCAATGATTGGTTGGGGGGGGGGGGCCAAAATACTGTTTGCTTACCGTTGAAAATTACCTAGGGCCGCCTCTGATTGTTTTAATCAGTTATAACTGTGATATTATGTGTTAAATTTGTGTATTGTATATTGCATTGTATGTTGTAATTGTTAGGCATCGAATTGTGCCTTTTGTAAGCCGCCCTGAGTCCCCCCTAGGGGGTTGAGAAGGGCGGGGTAGAAGCACCCCAAAGTAAATAAATAAATAAATAATAAACCACTGCCTTAGACAGTGGTTCTCAACCTGTGGGCCTCTGAATGTTTTGGCCTTCAACTCCCAGAAATCCTAACAGCTGGTAAACTGTATTGTCGAAGGCTTTCATGGCTGGAATCACTAGGTTCTTGTGGGTTTTTTCGGGCTATAGAGCCATGTTCTAGAGGCATTTCTCCTGACGTTTCGCCTGCATCTATGGCAAGCATCCTCAGAGGTAGTGAGGTCTGTTGGAATTAGGACAATGGGTTTATATATCTGTGGAATGGCTGGGGTGGGGCAAGGAGCTCTTCCCTGCTGCAGTTAAGTGTGAATGTTTCAGCTGATCACCTTCATTAGCATTTGAAGGCCTGCCTGAGCCTGGGAAAATCTCTTGCTGGGAGGTGTTCATATGTGCCAACCTGGACACAGCATATTATTTGAGAACACAGAAATGCTAGACCACACCAACAACCACCATGTCAGACTACACAGAGAAGCCATTGAAATCCACAAGCATGTGGACAATTTCAACAGAAAGGAAGAGACCATGAAAATGAACAAAATCTGGCTACCAGTATTAAAAAACTCTAAAATTACAACAGCAAAACACAGAGAGGAAACAACCAGGCACAGATTAACACCTCCCAGCAAGAGATTTTCCCAGGCTCAGGCAGGCCTTCAAATGCTAATGAAGGTGGTCAGTTGAAACATTCACACCTAGCTCTAGCAGAGAAGAGCTCTTTGCCCCACCCCAGCCATTCCACAGATATATAAACCCATTGTCCTATTTCCAACAGACCTCACTACCTCTGAGGATGCTTGCCATAGATGCAGGCGAAACGTCAGGAGAAATGCCTCTAGAACAGTGGTTCTCAACCTGGGGTCCCCAGATGTTTTTGGCCTTCAACTCCCAGAAATCCTAACAGCTGGTAAACTGGCTGGGATTTCTGGGAGTTGTAGGCCAAAAACATCTGGGGACCCAAGGTTGAGAACCACTGCTCTAGAACATGGCTCTATAGCCCGAAAAAAACCCACAAGAACCTAGTGATTCCAGCCATGAAAGCCTTCGACAATACAATGTAATGTTTGTGGGATTAGCAGTGGTTCTCAACCTGTGGGCCTCTGAATGTTTTGGCCTTCAACTCCCAGAAATCCCAACAGCTGGTAAAGTGGCTGGGATTTCTGGGAGTTGTAGGCCAAAATACCTGGAGACCCACAGGTTGAGAACCACTGTATTAGAGGCTATTCTATCAGCTCCAGCTCCTCATGCCGGGACATTAGAGAAGCCTCCCACAAGGATGATAAAAACAACAAATCATCTGGGCGTCCCCTGGGCAACGTCCTTGCAGACGGCCAATTCTCTCACACCAGAAGCAACTTGCAGTTTCTCAAGTCGCTCCTGACACGACCAAAAAAAAAAAAAGAGAGGCTGTTCTGCAGGCGCTGCACCTGATGCTGCCTCGGCCTCGTTGTCCTTCAGCGCCCCCTGGAGGTCGCGTGGGGAGTCCCCGTCGGAGCGTGCCTCCTTCCCTCCTTCCTTCCTTCCTTGCCTGCTGAGCGCCTATCTTTAGCCCAAGCCTCCCTCCGTCGCAGAGAAGCCATGGGGCCAGCCGAGGAGCTGATCCGGATGGCCAGGAAGCTGGAGAAGATGGTCTCCAGGAAGGACACGGTAAGAAGAACTTTCCCAACTTTCCCAAGTGAAAACCCAGCTGCCTGTTCTCCCGTCCCTTCCCTTCCCTCTTACTTGCTTTGGCTTCCTTCGCCTTTTCCAAAGTTTGCAAGCCAAGCCCCAACGAGCAACGCCATAGGTTTCTCCTTTCAGACACTAACTCAGCTCTAACTTATCATGTTGCCAAGTTCTGCACGGGAACCATTGAAATCCAGCTAGTACAAGCCAGGACTCCATACTAGCATCAAATGGGGGGGACAGACTTGTAATGGTAGCCTGGAAGTTGCTCCCTCCTCTGTTTGAGTGGACCCCCTTTTCTCACATGTGCCACATGAGCACCCTGATTCCCTCTCTTCAGTTTCCCTTTCCATTTAGTTCTATACATTGTGTTGGGCTTTAATGTCTATCTATCTATCTATCTATCTATCTCTATCTATCTATCTATCTATCTATCTATCTATCTATCTATCTATCTATCTAAATAAAAATGTAATGTTTGTTTGTGGGATTAACAGAACTCAAAAACCACTGGACAAATTGACACCAAATTTGGACACAAGACACCTAACAACCCAATGTATGTCTCACTCAAAAAAAATTGATTTTGTCATTTTGGAGTTGTAGTTCCTACAGGGCCGTAGCCAGAAAAAAATTTCGGGAGGGGTTGAAATTTTCGGGGGGCGGGTTGAAAATTTCGCAGGGGGGGGGGTTGAAACCTGCCTCCTAGCTCACGCTGAAGCAAAGAGCACAGCAGAGGGCAGAGCAGCCTTCAATAGCCTGCAGCTCCACCCTTGTCAACCACCTCCACCAAGTCTGGCCTCCTTAATGAGAGCATTCAACATCTCCCCCCCCCCCCAACTTGGTTACTTCACTACTGTTCTGTCGCGCGCTGGGTCCTTAAATAATTGTCTTTAGAACAGGACGTGCAACCTTTGCCCAGCGGGAAGCCAGGGGGCCTATAGAGAAGTTCTCTGAGGTTTCCACCACAAACAGTCTTTAGATGGCTTGAGAAGTACAACAAAGTCTTTTATTAATGAACAATCAAACAGAAACTTCTCTTGTCTTCAGTAAAGTTAAGCAAATGATTCCAAGCTTTTAGGCAACTGGTGAATTCCTAATCTTGCCCACGAAGGACAGGCAACTGTCTTCAATAACTTCTTCTTTAAAGGAAAATCCCCTTTTTAACTTCTCCCAGGCTGACTGTAATCTAACCCTTACTGATGTGGGCTCCGCTACCAGATCGAACTTTTTATCTTCTCCCAGGCTGACTGTAATCTAACCCTTACTGATGTGGGCTCCGCTACCGGGTCGAACTGCGTCTCGAACGCCGAGTGGACCTACCAGCAAGGCAGTAGATGTTCTCCAGCTGGAGTTCTTTGGTCTTTAGGGCTGTTTTCCTGGAAATTCTTTGGAGACTCTTAAGACCTTTCTCCCCCGGAAGGTCTTAAGGGTTGAAGCTTTTGTACAGGGGAAGCTTGCACACATCCTATACATAAGCTTACCTTGCTGAGACTAACTAAAAATGGCTCCCTTCCCTTCCCAATTGCCCTGAGCAAGGGGCGGACCAAAACTTAACAATGATGGACAGGTGACTTGCCCTATGACTGCAACCAAAGAAGCCACCTATCTGCAGAGTCCCTGAAACCTAGGACTGCAAGCAAACATTTAATACAAAGCAAATAAAGTTGGAGCTCCTGGTACAGCTGTACCAGAACAACTACATCGGCTATTGCTGCAAGTAATGACAGTGTGAATAAATTGCCAATATTTGCTTGAGATAGTGCTTGCAGTTCTGGAGGGACTCTTGCTTTTTTGCATCTCATAGACTTAGCAGCATGGGGATTTGGTTAACCAGTTAAAATTCATGAGTAAACCAGGTTTTTTTAAAAAAATCTGAAACATTTCGGGGGGGGGTTGAACCCCTAAACCCCCCCCCCTCGCTACGGGCCTGATTCCTGGGATTTATATTTCACCTACAATCAAAGAGCATTCTGAACTCCACCAACGATGGAATGAACCAAACTTGGGACACAGAACTCCCATGACCAACAGAAAATACTGGAAGGGTTTGGGCATTGACCTTGAGTTTGGGAGTTGTAGTTCACCTACTTCAGAGAGCAGTGGTTCTCAACCTTCCTAATGTCGCGACCCCTTAGTACAGGTCATCATGTTGTGGTGACCCCTAACCATAATGTTATTTTCGTTGCTACTTCAGAACTGTAATTTTGCTACTGTTATGAATCGTAATCTAAATTTCTGATATGCAGGATGTATTTTCAGTCACTGGACCAAATTTGGCACAAATACCCAATACGCCCAAATCTGAATACTGGTGAGGTTGGAGGTGATTGAATATTTATAGTTTAAATAAGAAAAATGTATATTCCATGCCGAGTTATGGAGTGAACAATGCTCAAACGTGAAGATGTTATATTTGTAGAGCCTTTTACAAATTTAAGGATGGAATTAGATTGGCTCTTATAAGGTGTACTTTTCTGTATGCAGCCGCACGTGGCCGCGTGTCATCAAAAATAGCCATGTGTGTCAGTGCTGACACGTGTGTCATAGGTTCACCATCATGGCTCTAGAACATGGCCATATAACCCAGAAAAACCTACAACAACCCAGTGAATCTGGCCATGAAAGCCTTCGAAATACATTGAAGAAGTTTAGAATAATGGTTTAATCAGAGTTGGGGGGTCTTGTCTTAAATTACAGTTTTATGTAAATATTCAAAAACATTTAACCCACTGATGCCTCAATTAATGTAATTGTATTGGTATCTATTTTTATTTTGAATTTTACCAGTAGCTGCTGCATTGCCGACCCTCGGCTTATACTCGAGTTAATATGTTTTCCCAGTTATTTGTGGTAAAATTAGGTTCCTCGGCTTATATTTGGGTTGGCTTAAGGTAAAGGTAGTCCCCTGACATTAAGTCCAGTCATGTCTGACTCTGGGGTGTGGTGCTCATCTCCATTTCTAAGCCGAAGAGCCAGCGTTGTCCGTAGACACCTCCAAGGTCATGTGGCCGGCATGACTGCATGGAGCGCCGTTACCTTCCCGCCAGAGCGGTACCTATTGATCTACTCACATTTGCATGTTTTCGAACTGCTAGGTTGGCAGAAGCTAGGCTGACAGCGGAAGCTCACACCGCTCCCCGGAATCGAACCTGCAACCTTGCGATCAACAAGCTCAGAAGCTCAGTGCTTTAACCCACTGCGCCACTGGGGGCTCCTGGGGGGGGGGGTCGGCTTATACTCGAGTATATACGGTATATACCAATAGACACATATATATACACACACAAAACACAAATATACCGACTGGACCACAGCAACACCTGGCAGGGAACGGCTAGTCCTATATATGACTTTTAGCTTAGATCCTTAAATTATAATTATATGATATGTCCCATTGTAATCCACTGCTGTTGCTGCATCTTATTATTTTATTTAAGTTAGTATTTTATTTAAATTTTATGTATATTTGTTTTATGTTAATTGACCCTGTTGTTTTATAAATGCCTGTGTATTTTATTGTACTTGTTTGTTTACTTGTATGCTTTTGTAAGCCGCCCTGAGTCCCTTTTGGGAGATGGAGGCGGGATATAAATAAAGTTGTTGTTGTTGTTGTTGTTGTTGTGCACCTCTGCATAATAATAAGGACTAAGACACTTAGTCCTTATAACTACTTGGAATGCTGGCTAGACCCACCCACTTGTACTAGATGGATGCCACGTTACATTTCAAATGAACACAGGTGCTAGCCATTTTGAATGTAACTGTATTTTAAATTACTTTTAGGGTATTTGTTGTAATGTTTACTTATGTTTTAGTTAACTACTAGCTTGGGTACCCGGCGGTGCCCGGGTTATTTGAAAAAGGCATTGTTTGTTTTGGAGTGTTAGGTAATACCATGTGGTTAATTAGTAACACTATTAGGAAAAAGCCAGTCTTTGATTTTGTTTTTTATGAATTGTCCCATTAGAAAATACATAACGATGTGGGTGAACTACAATTCGCAGGATCATGGGTCAGTCCTCCCCAAACCTGTATGGATAGTTGGCCATGTTAACTGTGTGTGCCAAGTTTGGTCCAGATCTGTAGGCTGGGTTCAGTGCTCTCTGGATAAGGGTGAACTACAACTCCCATATGCCAAGGACCGTCACTCCCAAATCCTGCCTGTATTTACAGTTGACCATGTTGGGTCTGTGTGCCAAGTGTGGTCCAGATCTGTCATCAGCTGGGTTGAGTGCTCTCCGGATGCAGGTGAACTATAACTCCCAAAATTAAGGTCATTTCCTCTAAACCCTTGCAGTATGTTCAGTTGATCATGGGGCTTCTCTGTGCCAAGTTTAGTCCAAGTCCATTGCCAGTGGGGACCACAGTTTCTCTGGATGAAGGTAATCGTCGCAAGCGCGATTGGTGGGGACGAGGGACAGGGCCTTCTCTGTGGTGGCCCCCCGACTCTGGAACTCTCCCCCCAAGAACATCAGACAAGCCCCAACGTGGACAGTCTTTAGGAAGAGCTTGAAGACGTGGTTGTTCCAGTGTGACTTCCCAGAATAGGAAACTCCAAGCATCATGTCCCAAATGCACTTTACTAGAGATTTAAGATTGTCTGCACACTGCACCTATCTCCAAAAACCTATCCATTTCACCTGTCAAGCCCAGCATTTTTAAAATTTTTAGTCATGACATTTGACCCGGCCTTAGTTTTTAAATGTGTTGTGGTGTTATTGTCTAATGTTTACTGCTAGTCTTTTAATGTTTATTGTTTTGTTTTATGAGTTTATGAGTTTATTTATTGTTGTATTTGTTCTGCTGTTGTTTTATTGATGTGTTGGGCCTCGGCTTCTTGTAACCCGCACCGAGTCCTTCGGGAGATTTTAGCGGGGTATAAATAAAGGTTCATTATTATTATTATTATTAAACTCCCAAATTCTGAGGGTAATGACCCCCAAACTCCACCTATATTCATACTTTGGTACCGAACTGTT